TAAAGATATGGAAAGAATTTACCGAATCGTTCTTAGAGCCTTGCAGTCGGTGGTGAGAACCTCCTCTTCAACCTCCCCAAGCTATCTGTGAAATATTTTTGGAGCCCAAGAGTCATTTTCTAGGCAAAAACAAGTTTAAAACCATTTGGGACATTAATATTTTGAAATTTACCAGAGACTAGAAAGTTTTAAAAGAAAGGACAAAAATACCCCCGGGTTGCCTCCCGGTTAGCCGCCTTTTTTTAAATTCGTTAGCTCGACATGACCCATGAATATTCATAAATCTAAGTATGTGGGACTCTCCAACTCACTAAACTTTTCGCCGTCTCCATCAACGGAACACTTATCTTGTACTTGACTTTCTTTTTGCGTGGGAACCACGTTGGACTTAGACCCTTAATGACACTAATCGTCCAGCCGATACCTTTCTTGTACTTGTCTAGTAAGGTGGTCAAATCTTCCTTCATTCATAAGGTGGTCGATTTGATGATCGGTTGGGTGTCGACCTTCTCGGGGTACATACCATTTGAAGGGTAAATAAAATTTATCGTTTTCGGCTCTTGTGGTTGGTCTACCATTAAAAGGAGTTTCTCATTGGTAGTGGGTGGCTCATCCTCTTTTTTGTCAACCTCCAACACCTCCTCTACAACTTCCATATCAACATTCTTAATTTCTACTTCTTCCTCCTCTTCCCCATCTTCCAATTGCAATCTTGGGTCATCAACATTTTTCCAATCGTTCAAGGTGATGGAAGAAACGGTATCCATTGGGTCCTCGTCCATCTGCGATGGTAATTTTCCACGAGTTTCCAATATACTCACAGATTGAGTAAGTTGTGAAATTTGTTGCTCTAAGCTTTTGAGGCTAGCTTTGGTTGTTTCTTGAAAGATCTAGGTAGTAGTGGCAATGCTTTTGACAATGTCTTCCAAGGACATGCTCAACGTTTCAGGTTGTTGGGGAGGTGGAGAATATAGTTGTTGGAACTGTGGAGTTAGTTGGTATTGGTCACTTCCCCAAGCTTGGTATGGGTTTTGGCATTGGTTGTTTCCCCAAGCTTGGTTGTTGTCCCACCATTGATCATGTTGAGGTTGATCATAACTCCATTGGTTTGGCCAGTAGTAGCTTCCCATTTCTTGCACTTCTTCCCATTCTCTTTGTAGATATGGACACATATCGGAATGATGTCCATTTTGAGTGCAAAAATCGCAAGGAATAGATATGGGTTGCGTACTTTGGTCATTGGCTAGCATCATAACCACTTTCATAAGCTCGGACAATTGAGCTTCAATTTGAGGAGTTTGGACCTCCTTTACACCTCGGGGTGCATCCGTGTACCATTCTTCATCATGGCTTGAATGTTTGGAATCTTCAGCCATGTTCTTGATTAGATTGCGGATTTCAGTAGGAGTCTTGTCGGGTAAAGATCCACCACTGGAGGCATTAAGAAGCCTTCTTTCCATTGGAGTCATTCCTTTAATGAAATATTGGAGAAGTTGATATTCAGTAATTCCATGCTTTGGGCATCGAGCAAAAAGTTTCTTGAATCGATCCCAATATGTGTGAAAAGCTTCTCTCTTGTGCTGCTTGATTCCAATGATTTCCCTCCGTAGGGTGGAAGCTTTCATTTCGGGAAAATACTTGTCCAAGAACAACCTCGCAAGGTCTACCCAAGTAGTCACCGTCCCCGGTGGGAGGTCATAAAGCCAGTCTTTGGCTACATCTTGCACCACAATGGGGAATGCCCTAAGCTTGATTTGGTCATCCGTGACAATGTGTGGTTTCATACCCACACATACTACATGGAACTCTGTGAGGAACTTGTGAGGGTCTTCATTCTCCAAACCTCTAAAAGTTGGGAAT